TATGTGTAGTCGAGGGGGTGGGAGGGGAATGATGTTCCGTAAGCACTTAGCACGTGTTCGAGATTTTTTGTCTACAGCATCGCCAGCTAAACATAAAATACGCATAAAATGCCCGCGCGCTTTATCTTGAAAAATGCGAGAACTAGTCGCCATATAGCGTCTAGCGTGTGAGAGATGTTTTGCTTAAGGTGGCATGCAAAGCAGGCATAATGTTATGAAAACTTGTTCTTTCAAATATGGGTTGTAGGATTGAGAAAACTTGTCAAAAATCGGAGAATTTGCGGAAGAAAGTACTTCGAAAAATTAGCCGTGTTTGGCCGTTAATGCCAGGCCAACTTTTGTCTATATCTCTTCCACATACCTTCTCCAGAAGTTCTTTGTGCACTGAGACGTATTCATATACTGATCTCAAAAAAGCAAACAATTAGACCTAAAAGATATTGTGTTGAACATGGCTCAGGCTGGAAAATCCTTTCACGGTGCGGTCCTCTTCAATGCTGATTCCTTCTTGTATTGGATACTGCAAATTTCTTTTTTTTTAGTTCGCGTTCAAAAACTGCCCTTTTAATGTTCTTTCCTGGCTCCATCCTCTCAGCAAAAAGTGCATTTCAGTCATCATCCTGCTCGATTCCCGAATTTGTGTGCAACTTGGGAGCATGGCTATCTCGATCACCTATTTTAAAAAGTTATGCAGAAATTCTTAGCAAGGTAAGCTTATTTAATATTTTTTCCCAAAATTTTACCTTTTTACAAACTCTTCTCCTAAAAATGAAAAAGTTCACTTACAGTCTTATATGAGTTTTCAATTTTTATAGAATTTGCGTTTTAAAATTACAGAACTTCAGTTTTTTTTTATGAACTTAAATGTAGAAATCTTCCAAGGCACTGAATGTAAGTGTTTTGCATTCCAGAATGAAGAAAAAGAATCCTTGCTTAAATTGGATGAATGTATCAGACACGATGCACTTCAAGCTTTTCGCGCATCTATTGCAGAGCCACTGTTACAACTGAGCTGCTCAGACCAGGTATTTTCGAAGATTACTTGTACACAGTACTCAGCTTTGAGGGGACTTAAATAAAAGCATTATTAATCCCCCGTATTCATTAAAGCATCACTCCATATTTAGCCGTGCAAAATTGTGTGACCAACCACTTTTATTAAACATCAGTACAAATAATCCTATGTTATTCAGGGTTGTCTAGTGATAGCAGTTGATGGAGTGGATGAAGCCGAATTTCATAGAAGTGAAGATGGTCGATCGATAGGTATTTAATTTCTCTCTATAAATACATTGTCTCCCTTGACAAAATATGGCAAAAATGTTTAGTCAAACCCAAATGCAGAAATCTCTCAATTCTAAGCAAAATTTAACTTCATCTTGCAATTGAATCTTGGAATTGGCTTATTTGTGCCAAGAAAATCCGAAGTTGTACTCTATGGTAATAGCACATATCCTAAGGTTTTAGAGGCAAAGAAGCAGATCTGTCTTATCATAGGCCTTGCTATGAAGGATATCCAGATAGTTGGTAACAGTTAGTAGGCGGGTAGTC